ATCCATTTTTATGGTTTAAAAACATTTATCGACTAATATCTAATTACAACTTTAGCTGCCCAATATCTTATCCACAAATTAAATCCCCCAAGAAAAATCACTGCTACTTCTTTACTGTTTTTTCTTACTTGGGGTTTGTTAAGTTTCCACCAATATTTTTCATCAAAATTGAAACAATTTGTCTCACTTTACGTTTCCTAATGTTTCGTAACATCTAGATATTTCATAAGTTTTCCTGCCACAAAATATTACAAAGAATTTTTATTCATAATAATTTAGGAAAGGAGCAAAAGTTTGTATGTAAAGAAACACTTATTAACACAAAAACCGTAATCTGCTGTAGGTTAAATAGAAAGGAACAGATACAAGTCAATAAAGATAAGAATATAAATATTTGCATTTATTTATTTATGATTTGCTTCAGTTTAAAATTAAATGTCAACTGTATAATAATGAAGTAATTACCTATTCAATATGTCGACATTTGAAAATATCTGCGAAACAGCGCGATTAAAAATTCTACTCATAAAAATAAAAATCATCTATTAACCGGCGGGTCCTTTTTGCCCACAAATCTCTGTTTTCTACCTGTGTAAGTAAAGGGGTGCGTTAATCTTACTGGTATTTTGCCCACAGTAGCATTCAGGTACCTAAACCCGCAAATTACATCCGCCCACAAATAGGTACCTACCTGATTATTAATAATTCTAATAGGTACTTACTTTGGGTTTCAGTCAGTTTTTATACGTTGATAATTGTAATTCGAGTGTTTATAAACAATAATTATTTCTATAATGTCAGCTACATTGATTAAAAGCACACGCGGGAAAGATGTACTCCTTTTGGAGAATTTTACGTTTGCCAAAGATAGAGAAATGAAAAGTGGAGAAGTTTCTTGGAGATGCTCCCAAAGAAAAACAAATGCTTGTAATGCCACTGTATTTACAATTGGTCCTGAACTTTTAGTATCCAGAGGCAACCTAATTCATAGCCATGAAGCAAATGAACCGAAATTAAACAGGAAAATTATTTCTAATTCGTGTAAGAGAAAAGCAGTTGATGATATTTCGGAAAAACCTTCTAAAATTATCCGTAAAGTACTTGCTACTAATTTACCAGAGTCACTAACTACAATTGATGTGTCCTACATAAGAAAAACTATATACAACAGTCGTCGCAAAATACTACCAGGTCCATTACCTACAAATATACAAGAAGTGCATGATGCAGTTGACTTATATTCTAATACATTTAAAACCAGTAAAGGTGAACATTTTCTTTTAATAAATAGCAGAGAAAATAATATTATTGTATTTACATGTGAGACAAATATTCGTACTTTGTGTAAAATGATCGTCTTGTATATGGATGGAACATTTTCGTATTGTACAAAGTTTTTCCTACAATTATTTACCATTCATGGGCTGTGTAATGGACACTATGTGCCCCTGGTATATTGTTTATTACCAAACAAATCTACCGATATATACAAACATTTGTTTTCGTTATTGCATTATAAAATTTTGGAAACTTACAGTATTGCTTTAAATCCATCTAAAGTGTTCGTTGATTTTGAAATAGCAATTCATAAGACGTTAATTTATATGTGGCCTAATACTGTAATCAATGGCTGCCGATTTCATCTACATCAAGCGTGGTATCGTAAAATTCAGTCTCTGGGATTAATGACTGAATATACAACTAACAGTGATACCGGAAAATGGCTTAAAACATCATTTGGGTTGACATATTTAAACGCCGATGAAGTTGGAGACTGTTTTGTGTTTGACTTAATGGCAAGTAAACCAGAAAATGCCGTTCTCGATAGGTATGCCGATTACCTATTAGAAACATATATTGAAGAAAATTCTACATTTCCTCCAAGTATATGGGCAGAAAAAACAGCTTCAATTACAAGAACTACAAATGCCTGTGAGTCGTTTCATTCAAGGTTTAATTCTTCATTCTACTGTACACATCCTTCTGTATATATTTTTATAGAAAAGCTTAAAGACTTTCAAATCGACACGTATGTCACAATACAAAGCTTAAGTATACCTAAGAAAATCAAAGACAAAAGTGTAAATCAAAAAATTCAGTGTTTAGAAAAATTTATACAGCGATTTGATCTGCAGCAAATCAGCAGATTAGAGTATATAAAATTTGTATCAGATTTATCCCTCCCAGTTGAAAAATATGTAAATAAAATATAAATATATAAAAAATATAATATAACTTATGTATACTTACTTTTTTATAATAATAAAAATTAGTGTTTAATATAATTTTTAGTTTAATTAATAATGTGTTTTTACTTTTCGATAATATATAAAAAATAATAAATGAAAGATATATCTATTATGATTTATTCAGTTAGAAATAAATTTGGGCAAAATACCAACAGGATTAAGATGACCTTTTACTTGCTGTGGGCAAATTACCTATAGGATTAGCAGCTTTAAATATTTTGTGGGCAAATTACCTCCGCCCCTATTAACAACTACTTTAGTGTTTTTTTTATAATTTGAAGACGAAACAGTTAAAAATGTGGTAAGAGTATTGTTGTATAGCGGTTCTAATATGAATAGAAAGAATGGGGACGATTATAAAAAGTATGTTGTAAAAAACGATGTAGAATACAACAGCTAAAAAATTAAAAGTTTCATTTTATTTTGACCCCCTTCGATGATTATGTGTTTAAGAAAGTCTGTAATGTACGTGATTCAAGACTTAAGAAGTTACCAAACAATTTAGAAAAAAGCAAAAAAAATTTGTAGCATTTTACACAAGATACATTATTGCTTCTAAAAAAATGCGCATCTTATTTGGCTTTACCTCTATCCATTATTATGACATCTTCCTTTACATCTCACACACTTCCTTCAATGTGGAAAAATGCTTCAGTGACACCTAATTTTAAAAAGGGTGACAAACTCAGTCCATCCAACTATCGTTCAATGAGCTTCGTCTCAATTGCCTTTAAAATAATGGAATCCATCTTAACCAATTATATGTCTGATTTTCTCAAGAGTCATGACGTCTAGCCAAAAGGACAACACGGTTTTATCAAAGGCCGATCCACATTTACAAACTTAATGACCTGTTTAAACGATTGGCCTACGTCTGTGGATAATAAAGAGCCTTTCGATGTCTTATATCTTGATTTCGCTAAAGCCTTTGATCGTGCTCCCAAAAAGAGATTGCTTTATAAGTTGAAAAAAGCTGGCATTCGCGGCTCTTTACTTTTCTGGGTGATTTTTTTGTCAAATCGCATTTTTTAAGTAAAAGTTGGACAAATGTTCTCGTCAGAGTATCCAGTTCTGAGTGGTGTCCCTCAAAGCTCTGTCATAGGGCCATTACTATTTTTGGTATACGCTGCAGATCTAGGCAAAGACTTAAATTCTAATATTTAGTGTTACGCTGATGACACTAAGCTATATTCTAATCCTGTGACAGATTATACCCAGCTACAAAAAGACTTTGAAACTATTTCTAACTGGTGTGACACCTGGATGCTTCCTTTAAACACGGAAAAATGTCGTCCTGCATATAGAAAAAAATAACTCGTGACTGAACTATTATCTAAACGGTAGGGCGTTAGAGACTGTGAACTGCTATAACGACCTGGGACTCATTGTAAACTTATCATTAACGTAGTCAGAGCACATATCAGCGATTTGTAAACGTTCGAACTCAATGCTCTACCTAAGTATATTATCTCTCGATTCAAACGGGACAAACAACATTTAACTTAATTATGGTACCATCCACTTCTAGTCAAAGAAGTGGTGATGCAGCCGAAGAATTATCAGTGACCAGAAGGGGTAGTAGTAGTAGTAGTAGTAGTAGTAGTAGTAGTAGTAATAGTAGTAGTAGTAGAATGTTCTTCTAGCAGAAGTGATCACGCAGCCGAAAAATCGTCAATGACTAGAAGGGGTAGTAGTAGAGTGTGAGAAAAGAAGAATAAGAGATGTATGAAATGTTTTGTAGTATAAGGAGAACATAAATTTTAGAAAGTAATGAGTGGACCATATTTTAAACTTTTAACATTTTTGTTAATAGGTGGGTACCGGGTGGTAGATACTGATGATATCAGCCTAGCTGAGCCTTTATTCAACAGTAGAGCCTGGTCTAACGAAATGAAACAAATGTATTCTAAATATTGCAATTATTTTTATTTCTTATAATATATGATAATAATATTAATAATAATTAAATGTGATAACGTCGTACCCCATGTTTAATTTAATGCAGTTCCAGTCATCGAGTCACCAAATGTCTTTACAGACGAGAATAAGATATAACCAACAGAAGAGCGCGGGATGTCAATTGGCGCATCGTTTGAAAAAAGTATGGATTCTTTTAACTTGGTCCAGTTGGAAGTCCTGTTTCACCAAATATCTTGTATATAAATAATATATAATATATAAATATAAAATAACATTTTAAATAAAATTCTAAGTAAAGTGGAAACAATAATGACATTGTTCAGACACACAAAGGTGAACTTATTTTCATGAACGAAAGATGGTACTAGGTAAATAATTCGGGAAAATTGAGTCCTAATAAAACTAAAGAAAAAGAAGAAGAAAAAGAATAGGAACCTAATTTTTATTTTGGTTTTTCTTTGTTTTATGTTAAATACTTGTTTGATACGTAGCTTAGGATTTGCCTACTGAAACCCGAGAATAATAACCTTACAAACATTTTAAAAGATTATTTTAACGGGGAAACATTATCCATTTTCTTTAATGTGGTCAAATTACTGATACCATAAAACATAAAATCATAAAATGTGGTAACTATTTTGTTTTTGTTATTCTATTTGAAATTATTCAAACATTAAGATCTTCAAAAATTTAGATGCAATTTTATAGTTAATTGTTGAACAATGTGACAGTAGAGTAAGAAAAAATAGTTTTATTACCATTGTCGGGAAAATAAATACTCTACACGTATGAAATAAATATCCCTCCAAATGGAGTAAATCGCTCGCTTACCTGTTCTGCGCTTTGCTCCTCTATAACCAGCTTAACCTCAAGTGATTGTCTCGTTTCTAAGAAGGCTCGTCGCTGTTGTTTGTCTTCTACTAGAAAAGACGTGAGGCCCATTAAGTTAGCTGTCATCAGCAGAATGCAATTGGACGTGTGCTGAAACAAAAACTAATTTAAGACAGCAGAACGCATTTTTACTATTTTCGTATTATAAATTATCGATAAAACTATTTAAAAATTTTCTACACGATCCGACAGAAAAATTTTTAGTCTTGTCGAAGTAGTCAAATTTGATGGGTGACTGCTAAAGTTTTGGTAGAAAAAAAGAAAGTTTTCGAATTTTTTTATTTCCTACTCTTCTTGACATATAAAAACTCTGTTTGTGATACATCTTATATCAGTAAACAAATTATTCTACTTAAGGTTTCTGCTTTATTTTTTTAAGCAAAGTTTTTCCTGGAAAGGCGTTCGATCCAAATTTGCCTCTAATTTCCCGGGAAATATGTTAAAAGTATCGGGAAAATTCCCATGTCAGATTGTCAAGCATATCGAGTAGTATACACAATTTTTTGTGTGTGTGAAAAGTCGGAAAACTGGGCAAACTCGGAAAAGAAACAAAAAATGCGTTTTCTCTAAACAAAAGGAAACTTCTCTAAACGGATAAATCCGCTGTCAAAGAAGTTGGTCCCTCTGGAAAATGTGTAGAAAAGCACTTTACTGAAGGAGCATTTAAATTTTTTCGACATGATTTGACACAGAAAATTTAATGACAGACAACACGTAGGTATTAAGGTTCTTTCTATTATTTATTCGAATTCCACATTGACAAATAATTATAGAGGTGAAATTTCTTCTTGTTAATGAAAGATTAGGTTCCAATCGTTTTGCCCATTATCTTTTTCCTAATCTATCTGATGTCGATACTATGAGAGATTTAAATTTTATAATAAGTATGTTACATTTTCTACCAGTTTTGAGGTTAAAGAATGCAATTTATAAAAGACTTTTCACATGAAATCTTATTTATCCCAGCATAAATACATACCTACTGAAGTGGTAGTAACTAAAGTAATGAAAATATTTGTTTTATAAATGCAGTTAGTTTTATTAAAAGGAAATTATACTGTCAATATACGCAAATATCGCCCTTTAGTTTATGGATTAGTTGGTGCTGCTGTCACGCACAGAGGGAATAACAAAGCAAAATTGGTTCTGCTTTCTATTGGAAACTGTCCTAAATTAACATTCACATACTTATAGATGTTTCACCAGGGTTTGAGCAGTAGTGTAAATATTCAGACAGTAATTGAAGGTTGTAGTTATGGTTAAAAAATTGTGTCGAAGTCACTGTTTAGTTTACGTTAATTTCGGCCTTAGCGATCTCAAGAATACGCGTAATTTTTATTTATTAAAAATTTCTGTTTTTAAACATTTGCGAGAACCCCTGTAGTTAAAAATATATTATTCGTTGAATTTTAATTCCAATCAAGCTTTAAACGCTTAAATTCAAGTAAATTATCTGGTCATTTTCGCAGCTGTCAAGAAGACAAATAAAGATTTTTGGCTACTTTATTCCAAACAACTCGTAAACCGAACTAGCCCTATCGTAAGGTATAAAGCCGAGATCACACCGAGGTCGTGCGTAATTTTCGAGTTAATACCGTTAATACTGTTAATTCGTTAATACCGTTAAACTTTTAATACCATTAATATGCCTAAATACCCTTAATATCCTTACTACTTAAAACCAATTAACGTTAATACCGTCAATAACGTTAATATCCTTAATACCGTTAATACCATTATTACCCTTAATATCGTTATTACCTTTTATCCCGTTAATACCATTGATATCGTTAATATCGTTTATACCGTAAATACCGTTAATCCCGGTAATACCATTGATATCGTTAATATCATTAATATCGTCAATATCGTTAATATCGTTAACATGGTTAATATCGTTAATATCGTTGATATCGTTAATGCCGTTTTTTAATTTGAATCTTTTTACTGCGGGAACTGAGTCCATTCGACAAAGTTAATACCGTTAATACTGTTAATATCGTTAATACCTTTAATACCGTTAATATCGATAACACCGCTAATCCCGTTAATACTGTCGTTTTTTTTTATTTTCACTTCCTTTTAAAAAACTGGAAACTTTATTATTAGTTTTTACTATTAGGATTTATTTTGTTATTCTCTTGGTCGACCGTCGCTTGTTAAATATTAGCAAAGAAAGCATTTTTATATCTCAAGAAAATTATTCTTTACTAGTGTTGATGTACCATTTTGTTATTTCTTAAGTTTTGTAAGGAAGGCCAGGTCAGTGATCGCATTCATTTGAAAATAATTCTTTAAAGGGAAACCGTTAATTAAAATAGATATATAGTAACCAATTTTATTTTTTCAGAAAATCCGACCATAATCCCGGGGCTATTACCAGTTCAGCTGAATGAAGATACACCATTTTTTTAAATAATTTATGCAAGAAATATTATTGGTTGATATCAATGCCGATTGAAATTATTTTAGAACAATGATTTTTCCTAATACTTCCGTCACATTAAGTATACTGTTAATTATCTTTAATTATAAAAACTCTGACTACAACCGTGTATCATAGATTTATTTTATTTATTGTCGCATTGCTTTATTACAACGTATTGGTATACAGGGTGTGTCCTAAAAATTATTTAAAATTGCGGATTTAATTCTTTTATTTTTTATTTATTCCATAAAGCATTAATTTTGTAAATATTTTTGTTAGGTTAATTATACTGGTAATTAACCTGAAGGTTACACTGCTGATTAAAATGACTGTCGGTATATCCGTTTTGATAATTTATTTCTTTATATTTTTATTTACTTCTACGAAGTTTTAATTTGGTAAATATATTTTGTTTGGGTTAATTATACTATTAATTATTAACTTAGAGCTTATTATTTTTGTGCAATTGATTTAAAATAAAGACTAAAAAATAACAGGTCCATACCTTCAACTATGGAATACAATGGTGTAGATTACGAGAATAATGAAGATATTTGTAATGCTTTTGCGGATTATTTTCGCATGTCTTTTCCTAAAAATAGCACACTTCTCCAAACAACAATGAACAGCACATCTCCGTTTCCAAATCAAATGTTATCTTCAATTAGAATTACAGAAGAGGTAGTACTTGAATCAATTCGACATATAAAAGCAAATATGACCACCGACCCTGATGACATTCCCGCTTTTCTTATTCGTGACTGTCAGTTTGTACTTGCTCAACCTTTAACACAAATGTTTAAATTGATAATTAAGACTTCTACCTTTCCGGATAAATGGAAAATTTCAAAAATTACTCCTGTGTTCAAAAAAGGGAGTAGGACAGACGTTAACAATTATAGGCTGTCATATCTGCTCCTAAAAGTAAAACGAACGCTACATACATGTCAATTGTCATTGTAAGTTGTCATCTGTCACTTCACTTCCATTTTTCCGTTATTCAAAATGTATGAATAAAATATAGTTCTGAATCCGACTACATCTATTATTATATTCAAGTAAAAACCTACGATACCTACATACACAACAGATTGGCGACGAGGCAGGTCGAATTCACACATTATTATACAAAATATTACAGCTACGAGTTGGATGTGCAAATTTGTTGGATATAACCTAAAAAAAATTTTCCGTGCCTGCAGGCCGGTTGCTACAGCATTAATAAAAACAAGGTTATCTCTTTGGAATAATTATTACCCAGACCCAGTTGCAGTCCAACATTCGGTGCAAACCATTTTTTCAATTGAACATTACGACACTTCGAAAAAGTTTGATCGGTGGAGAATGCGCCTGGAAAGTGCATTCAAAGTATTTGCCGTTCCACAAGATAAAAAGGCACCGTATCTCCTACATTACATGGGACCCGATGCGTATGATGTATTGTGCGATAAGTTGTCTCCTGACAACCCAGATGATAAGACATACAATGAATTGGTGGATATCATGAAGGCCCATTATAATCCTGAGCCTCTAGAGATTGCAGAGAATTTTAGGTTTTCCCAGAGGAAGCAGCATGAGGGGGAAACAGTCACAGAGTATTTAACGGCACTCCAAGGGATAGCCACTACATGCAAATTTGGGGACTATCTTAAAAAGGCTTTACGAAACCAGTTCGTGTTTGGTTTAAGAAACGAACGCATACAGAGTAGACTCCTGGAGTCTGCAGATCTTACAGTGGACCGAGCAGTGGAGATTGCCATAAGTATGGAAACTTCAGCTAGAGAATATATACATGCAAATAAATGGCAATTTGGTAAAGTTACAGAAAAGCTGGGTAAGTTACATTATTTAATTCAATTAGATGATGGTCGTTGTTGGAAAAGACACATCGATCAGTTAAGGTCAATTGGGGAGAATACACCTCATATGTTTGTCCAACCTGAACCATCTATCATGCCTAGTCTTTTTGAGAGTGTAAATAAAGAAAAGGTAACTGAATCCCCAGGTCTGATTCAAACTGATACTAAACTTCTACCTGATGAGTCAGCATCAGAAACAACAGTACAAACTGAAACCGATTCATCAGACTTAACATTATCTCATGATCAACCAGGGACCTCCAATACAGATCCTGCTGCATTCACTCCTTTTTCAGGTGAGGCCTTACGTCGTTCTAAACGTCAGATTAAGCCTCCAAATAAATTAGATTTGTGAACTTTAGGATCTTGTTTTTCATAAGGAAGGGGAGAGTTGTCATATCTGCTCCTAAAAGTAAAACGAACGCTACATACATGTCAATTGTCATTGTAAGTTGTCATCTGTCACTTCACTTCCATTTTTCCGTTATTCAAAATGTATGAATAAAATATAGTTCTGAATCCGACTACATCTATTATTATATTCAAGTAAAAACCTACGATACCTACATACACAACATAGGCCAATATCCATTATCTCCAATTTTAGTAAGGTATTTGAAATTACTTTAAAGCACCATCTATATGAACATGTAAATTCTATAATTACACGGCTTCATAAAGGGCAAATCTACTGTTACCAATCTAGCTGTAAAAACCAAAAATTATTAGTGAAGTAATAGACAACGGAGGACAGGTCGACATAATCTATACTGATTTTA